GAAAGTGAACCCTCCGTTGCCCGAGCCGCCATAGGGGCTGGCGGGGCCCGCGTCCGGCACTGGCGGTCCTCCCCGGCTGCCCGGGTAAAAGGCCTCGGGGCCCCCTGGGGCGCCCAGGGCACCGTCCCCGCGGAGGCTGGCGGTGGGCAAGAGGGGCCGCCGCCCAGGGTTGGGGGCCTTGGCCCAAAGGCCTGCAGCTGCCCCAAGCAGGTCCAGGCAGACATCGGTGCCGTTGGCGTGGAAGTCGCTGTCGGGGCCGGCGTCGGTGAAGGCGCCGGTGCGCAGCGTGATGTGCGCCTCGATCTCCTCGCGGGCCCGGTCCACGTTCTCGGGCATGCCCGTCACGGCAAACACGGGCTCCTTGTCGCGACCCGGCGTCACGATGTACGTGTGCGTCCGCTGCTGGATGCGCTTGATGGTGGCGCCCTTGGGCCCCACTACAAGCCCCACCACTCGGTAGGGCACACGCACCTGGATGGTTGTCTGTCCCGGCAGGTTGGGTGGGCCCTGCGCCGTGCCAGGAAGCCCACCAGCCTTGCTGCGCGTAGCACGGATCACAGAGAAATGCTCGGCTGCAGACAGGATCTCACGCTTGGCCATCTCCACGTCCTCCTGGCGGCCAGTTACGATGAAGACAGGCTCCTCTCCACGCACCGGCGTCTTGATGTATGTGTTCGTCTTGGCACGCAGAGCCTTGATTTTGCACCCTGAGCAGGGGGAGTGGAACATGGTGAGGATTGCGACCCCTCCCCAGGACAGCCCTTCCCAGGCAGCAGCTATAGGGGTCAGCCAGCTGGGAGCCTCCACCTGTGGGCTGTACCCCTGAGGGATTTAATCTCAGACACTCAGTCATATCCTTAGATGAGGGACCTCAGTTTCCCCTCTGGTCCTGGGCGCCCCTGGGGTTGGCAAAAAAGCAAGACGGCAAGGACTCTGTTGTAGGTTGAATAGTGTCCCCTAAAAATTCATGTCCACCCAGAACATCAGAATGGGCTCTTATTTGGAAATTGGGCCTCTACAAATGTAATTAGTTAAGATGAGGTCACACTGGGGTAGAGTGGGCCCTGAACGCAAAAGGAGGGACACACAGAGGAGACGGCCATGTGACAAGAAAGTCAGGAGTTGCAGTGATGTGGCTATAAGCCAAGGGACACCAAGCACTTCTGGCAGCCACCAGACGCTGGGAGAGAGAGCATGGGACAGACTGTCCCCTAGAGCCTCTGGAGAGAGCACAGCCCTGCCAACACCTTGATTTCAGATTTCCAGCCTCCGAAACTGAGAGAATTTCTATTGTTTCGTTATTCAACTGATTATGTCAGCCCTAGGACACAAATGCAGATCCTCTGACACCAACTCCCCATTTGACAGGTGTGGAAACCAAGGCTCAGATTGCATAAGCCACCTGCAATTTTCTTCTAAGTGACCCTTCCAGTCCAAGGAGAGTGGAGGTCTCAGCCCGATGTAGACTCCTAGGCCCGAACTCAGGACACCTCCAAACATCCTGGTGGTCCTGGTCTCAGGGATGGATGCTCAGGGACACTTGGGAACATGGCACTTTGGCTTCATCCTGCCTGGGCTATGGATCCCACTCTATGGAGGGGCAGGGTCAGCTGTTCAGCGTCTCTGATAGGGGTGCCTGCCCAGGTCCCTGATACCCCCCTCCCCCCCGCGCCTTTTGAGACATCTTGAGTTCAGGCCTAGGAGTCTGGGAGACCTCCCCAGCCTCAGGCTCTGGGGAGGTTAGAGGGACACAGAGATATTGTGTCAATACATAGGTGGCATTGAGAGGAGTAACAGTGTTGCTAACTTCACAATAGCGAAAGATACAAAGTTAGCAGGATCATGCCATGGCTGGCATGGCACAGTGGTTAGAGCATCTGCCTGCATGCCAAAGGGTCAGAGTTTCAATTCCCATCAAGGGCACATACCTGGGTTGCAGGTTTGATCCCTCATGCAGGAGGCAACTAATCGATGTGTCTCTTTCCTCCCTCTTTCCACTCTCTGGACATAGATGGAAAAAGTATCCTCGGGTGAGGATTAACAAAAAAGGAAAGGAAGCCCAACCAGTGTGGCTCTGCAGTTGAGCACTGACCTATGATCCAGGAGGTCTCGGTTCGATTCCCCGTCAGGGCACGTGCCCGGGTTGCAGGCTTAATCCCCAGTAAGGGGCATGCAGGAGGCAGCCGATCAATGACTCTCTCACCATTGATGTTTCTATCTCTCTCTCTCCCTCTCCCTTCCTCTCTGAAATCAGTAAGACATATTAATTTTAAAAAATTTAAAAATATATATAAAGGGGGAAAAAAAGTTAACAGAATTAGCATGTCTGCCCAGGAAGAAATCAAGGAGATGGTGCCTAGGCCAGGGGACTGCTCATCCTAGAGATGGCAGGGGGCTTCCTCACCCTGGTCCCAAGGAAGATAGCAGCTCCCCAATCAGGGCTTTGAGCTAAAGCAGGGCAGATGAATCGGGGTCAGATATCTCTGAGGGAGGGGCTGCTTTTCTACCATCTCCAGGCCCCGCCTCCTGGGTCCTTAGCTACTACCCCCAATAGCAGTGTCACCTCAGTGGCATCCTCTAAATGCACTCTGGCCCCCCTAACCCACCCTGACCTGTGGCTGCCCCCACGCCTGCCCTGATGGTCCCCTCCCTACCTGGCAAACTCTACCTGGCAAACTCCCCCTTCCCTGGCCACGCTGTCACCTCACATGACCTTTCCCACTAGAAACAGTATCCTTACCACTCTCACCCCCAGTCCTGGCCCTTTTCTGCATCACATTGCAGCCTGGCACTCCCTCCTCTGGGAAGCCATGACTGGGCCAGGTCCCTGCATACACTTCCAGAATTTCTCCTGATATCATGCCTGACTTTCTGAACTTCCTGAAGCCAGGTGACTGTGCTCTAAGGGCTAGTAGACTGGGGACTGCCCTGGGCCCTTGAGGGAACCTTCCTGTGCCTCAATTTCCTAACCCATAAAAGGAGGGCTGAAACACCCAACCTCACAGATTTGGGGCCAGACTCAAAGGGCCATGGCCCCAGGCAGACCTCCTTCCCAGGAAATGTTTGTTTCTAGCAGAGCCATGTGAGGAGAGGGACGCTATTGAGGCCTGGAGAAAGGGCAGGGGATTTGCCAAAGGAGATGCAAGCAACCGATGCCCCCCTCCCGATCTTTTGTACAGATGAAGAAGTGGGCCTTGACCCCAAGCATAGGCTAGAACGATGAGCCCCTCAGGTGGGTCAGGGCAGAGGAGAGACCATGCAGCTTCCCCTTGGGTGGCACTGGGTGGAGCCCTTAGTGGCCAGGAGGAGCCCAATTTACTGACTGCACTTCAGCTGTGACACCTGTTGGCCCACAAACCCAACCCATTGTCAAGACCCTGAGAAGCGGCAGAGCTTGGGACGATGGGATTGCCTAGTCCAGGAAATCAGGGATCCAGTGACCCGGGCCACCCCCTCCCCCCGCCCCAATGGAGATGACAGAGTGTGGCAAGAGTTGGTGGTGAGCCCTGGCCAGTGTGCTCAGTGGTTAGAGCATCAGCCTGCATACTGAAGGGTTGTGGATTTGATTCCCGGTCAAGGGCGCATACCTATGATGCAGGTTCGATCCCCGCCCCGGTGAGGGCACCTGTGAGGCAACTAATCAATGTGTCTCTCTTATATCGATGTTTCTCTTTCTCTCTCTTTCTCTCTCTTTCTCTCTCTCTCTCTCTCCTTCCCTCCCACTCTCTCTCTCTAAAAAAAAAAAAAAAAAAAAAAAA